AAGTACGATGGATTGTGTAAGTTATTTATAAAGCTGAGCTCGGCTTGGTACAAGGCCATATGTATGGAGCACCCCGTGAGTATCGAGAGAAGAGTACTTAACCTAGAAGACAACTTGCCGATCTCAGTTTCAGCGTCGGTACCCGTTACGTTACCGAATGCAATTTGATTTATTTTCTTGTTGATTAAGCGAAGTAAATTTCAATCATCCGGGTAACTGGCGTATAAGTCAGCCTCTAAATGTCTGTGAAATTATTTCAAGTCTAGTTTGATATTCGCCAAAATAATTGACATCTGAAAATTAAGCAGAATTTATTTCATTAGACAAGCGTTTCACAATCTTTTTTTTTTTTTACCCTTGTGGAACCATCAAAATAGTTTTAATATCTCAGGGAACACTTGCATAAAAAGGATTTCTACCATTATTAATATCGCTTTTATATTTTATTATAATAACCAATGATTGTCCAACAAAATGCTGTACGTTTATAGTAAAATTATGAATGAAACAAAAATCATTAAAAATAAAAAAATGTATTAACCTATTTGTCGTTATTTCTCGTTGAACCCTTAGCGATCTCTTTAGAACCCTAGTGTTCCCACCGGTTGAGAAACACTGCATTAGACTGTTCAAAGGGTTTTAAATGGATGTACCGTGTCTCCTTAGAACGTAGGTGAACATGGCTCTCCACAGTTTCCTGCCCTTTGTAGATCTTAATAAATTCACCCTTCTGTTATTTCTCCTAAGCCATGTTCTGCCATCTATTTACAGGTAGGTTATGTGTCGTTTTCCTCTGTCCTTCTTGCCTTCAATCTATCCTGTGAGTATCAGATTTTCCAAGCACTCTTTCCTCATTATGTGTCCTAGAAATTTCGACTGTCTCTTTCCGATGTTAAGTGTAACTATTCTTTTTGTTTCTATTTTCTCTAAAGCTTCGTCGTTGCTCCCATGTTCGGTCTATGGAATGCTCAGCATTCTTCTGTAGAATCACATAAAAAAAGTGGATTCACGTTCGATTCCTGTCGGAGATGCACTATTTCTTTTGTAGGACTCCTCAGTCTCGTTGATCTTAATTGTTTAAAATAAAAATAATAATAAAAAAAAACAAAACAGAATCCGACAATAAACAGACAATTTCCTGTTTCTTAATACTTTGCTTAGCTCTTGGAAGGCAGCTTTCGCTATCCGGATACACCTTCAGTTTTTAGTGTTGCAGTTTCCGTCCTCTGTTAAAACGCTTCCTAGATATTCAAATTGTTTTACTTATTAGACTTTTGTATGTTTTTTTTATTTCAACTATTCAAGGAATTCCCAGATTGGAGGTTTCATGCCTTCTATTATTAATTTTAGTCGTCTATTAATGGTCTCAGTATGGTTATTGGCTTTAACTTCACTATTTAAGGTCCTAGAGCTTAGATCCTTTCCACATTGCCAGAGGAAAAACCGAAGCTCGATGACTACGAAAAGTACCTTTGCGCGTGATGCTCCTAGAGTGTCCTAACGGATTCTCCTGATCCTTTTGAAAATACTTTTTGTGCTTAAAAAGCCAACTGTTAGAGGTGGTTACTCGACAGTTGCTGTTATTTCCAGGAGTGGAGTCAAATTCATAACTGAAATCGCTGCAAAATAAAATAAATTTGTTTCCAAGAGTTTACTCATAATTTACGAAAAGATTACAATCAATGCTTGTATGTCTCAGCTAAGGAGGGAAAAAAATGAGTGCGTGTGTGTCCAGATGACTTATAGCTTTTGAAGATGCACTTCAAAATATATTTTATTGCAATTCATCCACCAACTTCCTTTTCCTTTTTCTTGGTTACATCTACTTAATTCTTGGTTTACGTGTACGTAATTCAAGGTTTGCGTGTACTTAATTCTTGGTTTGCATGTACTTAATTCTTGGTTTACGTGTACGTAATTCACTGTTTACATATAGTTAAATCTTGGTTTACGCGTACTTAATTAGGAACATCTGTGGGTGTGTCTGTAGCCTTGTTATATACACACACACACACACGTGTATGTGTACGTGTGTGTGTACGTGTGTGTGTACGTGTGTGTGTGTGTGTGTGCAAAAGTTTCCAGCGAAGAAGCGATTTTTATCTATTTATTCAGTCTATTTAAAATAAAGATGATAAGCGCTAAAAATGAATTTGCCAAATAAACTTATCCAGATGGAAAGGAGACAGGGAAATAGATATGAACAGACTGAGATAGGTAACTAGGTAAGTAAGTACGTATATAGAGTGAGATAGATAGGTATGTAGAGAGGTAGGTATATATATAGAGAGAGAGGAGTGAATATTAAAAAAAATGTACTTTCATTTACGATTTAGGAATGGTTTCCTATAGCTTTGTCGCGTCCTCTCTCCTTCCTTACCCCGTCTCCTACTCCTTTCCCTGTCTCTCTTTCTCTCTCTCACCATCCCTCTTTCACCCCTCTTCCTACCTCTCTTGTCCTTCATCGCTTTCTCTCTTTGTCATCGACTTATATTCCACCTCGCTACCTCTCCCTACCTATCTATCTACCCTCCTCGCTTTCTCTAGTCTTGTTTTTCCTCTCTCCTCTCTTTCTCTTTCCTTGCCCCTCTCTTGCTTTCTCTAATCTACCCT